ACGTTAATCATAAATTCACTTTATTTTTTCTCACAACGAACAAGGCAGAAACAAAGAGAGAGACTAATTTCCACCAGCTTCATGAACCGGCTCGTGGATTCAGCAGCCCCTTACCTAGGGAAGCTTCCTTCATTCCGTAATACGATCAAGTCTCCCAATCATCGGCTTTAGCTATCTCCAAAGATGTGCATGGTTACGTGTATACACTCTCGCGTGGGAGTACCCGTGTGTCAGCAGATCCGAGGAATCTTAAGATTCTTTGAACGTCGCAAAGCCGATACATCATCGCAACAAGGATATGAAACCTTTACATCCTTACATTCCTCTTACGCCCCTGCACGCGAATACCACGCGCCCTCTAACCAGCCGCCATTTTCATTCCACCCCCGTCCCCATCCGACTGCTATTCGCCATGAAACACCACCGTTTCCTATGGTTACCATTTACCCGAGGGATGCTTGACATCCTCATTGGAGCTTTCTACTCCTTGTCAAACCACTCTCTCTATTTCTTTCTTCCTCTCTCGTTCCTCAAAAGTTTTGCTTCTTTGCACGCATTTTATAACGAACATACGTGATACACTTCGACTTTAAGCAACTTTTGTAAGACCTTCCCTTCCGAATATTAAGACTCAAAGAAAATCTTTACATTACAATTCTTCATAAGCAGTGACACTACCACACTGTACCACAGCTGTGTGTGTATTGTACCACTGCTGATGAATTTTATGTCAGTAATTCATAAGACAGGTGCTTCACTTTAATTGTTCATTTTGTAAAATTTAATTAAATATATAATTTACAAACAAATCGTAAGTACTTAGTTTCCCGGAGTTCGTACAATCATTACGTGTACGGGAGATTTGTACGACACGTTGAAAGGAGCATAACGATTGGGTGTTGCTAGTCGAAAACGTTTAATCGACTGGCGCACGGTTTAGGCAGTGCTGTTTAGACCTAATTCTAGATTTAGGTTTAGATTTAAGCACGTTCGCTATCGTGCCCGAGGCAATACTGTATTGATTGTAGGGGGTTGGCCGAGCCTCCGAACACATTACATGATTAAACCGCCCCAATAGCACAGCGACCGGCCTTGCAGCACTTACCTTATTAAAATATCCGGCACCCTCACCGCGCCCTTTTAACAAAACCTTTTCGCGGACTCGCCAACTATGCTAATGCCTCTTATTATCAAGAAACGTTTGAGCACCTCGGAATGCTCCCACTGTTAACTATTTTCCAGATGCCTGCAATACCTTTAGGTGTCTTGAATAAAAATGTTCTGAATGAAGAAATTATACGACTCTTAATATCTTATTTTAAAAGTATAGAAAAGTTATGCGAATAAAGGTTGGTTTAGGTAGGAGGTTTCAAGTTTATTTCAGATATTTTGAGTAATTTTAGATCAGTACTTGCTGAATCGTTTCCAATATTACTGCTGCTAGATATTACTATCACGAGTATCCTAATCTACTTATGATTGGTTAATACAACGTTTAATCTGAAAATAGATTTATGATTGTCGCTATCAATGGGAGATGAATTCCAATTTGAATGCAAAGGTATTCTTGGAGCAAAAATTATGAATATATGAGTGGTCTCATAATTGATTAAAAGATATATAAGGTATCTTTCCAGAAATACATAAACTATTTTAACTACAGAACTTCTGTAGTATAATAGATCGCCGAAAAGAGAGTATAACTTCGAAACCGTAATAGAGAACTGGAATAAAAGTAATGAGCTGAAGGAGGCAGTCCCGGGATAAAAGATTTAATGATTAATTCTTGAATCATGTGACTTATTCATTTCGTTCGCGAATTGCGGGGCACGAAATATTTAAGAATCGGAACTGGATACTGGTAGAGTTAGCGGTGAAATCTCTGGATGTAGAAATTCATAATTGAAGAAACCTACGACCTTGTTCTACTCACCGAGATCGATCGCATAAATAACGCAAGTGATAACCTGCTCCACGAAGCAAGTGCAAAACAGACGTTAATAAAGCAGTATAGAATTGTTTCCTTAAAAGTCGCATAAAATCTGTTCACGTAATCCATTAAAGAATGCCCACGTGATAATTTAAACCATGTGACACAAAGTACAACCTGCTACATAAAATATATGGCTCATTTGTATATAAAGCATACATTTTTTATAGTAATTTTATAGCAAGAAAAATAAATTGTTTAGAATAAAGAAACGAGCAGTTTTCGATTCCTTTATTCAGAGTAATTTGTCGCACGTGAAAGGCTGCGCCATCATTTAAATGCATTAACTTGCAGGATCATTTATTTTGTGTCAGAAATAGGCATGGGAAAAGGAATGAGACATAAAATATTCATGCTACTATTTTCTTTCCTAGTCTTAAAAAAATATGGGTGTAAGCTCGTCGTAACATTCGTTATTCACAAAAAAATCTGGATTCTACATTATCCTTAAATAATTTTCAACAGAAGTCTGTGTCAATTATTATGTGCCACTATTATTAAGTAATATTCTATTTCTCCCTATTGTAATTTATTTAGTGAATGAAAGATTAAATCACGCATTCCTACTCAGATATCAACCAAGCGAAAGTAGTGTATTTGCACACAACCTACCAATTAATAATAAATTATAAAACGCTTATTAAGTCAGGTTTAATCTATATTACACTGATAATACAATAAATCACTTTTAGCTGATAACTTAAGAAAGCAATAAATCATTTCTTAGCACGAGCTTAATTATCTTCATATATTTTTGATCGAGCCTGATTATGTTATTCATAGAATTAGCATATCGTTTCATTACAGTTTCTGGCATTGTTTCAAAATATCTGTTTCACGGATTATTGCCCGTTGATTTTCTATAAGAATTGGGAATCAGATATTTCGGAATCGATACGAAGGTGACCCTAATATGAAGCAGCGATCGTAAGTTTCTCGAGTTGAAAATGTTAATCTTATCGATCATTCGAATCGACCGTTGTTATCAGGAGCTCGCTACTATTCGCGTAATGTAGTACAAAACTTTTATTCTGGCACGACCTCGTAAAAACTACTGATACCGAGTAAACTATCGTGACTTCCTCTTATCTTTACACGCTTCTGTGAATCTATTGAAGTAATTGCGACACGTTTCTTTAGGCCATCTGGTTTCAATTATGGATCCTTTGTGAACTAATTGATAGACGCTTCTCTAATTTCCTGATTTGACATGCAGATGAGTGAGCCTCGCAACATTGAACATTTCGAAAGATATTTGTTGTATGATTAATGTTTGTTATATGTTGAAATATGTTTGTATAATGTTGAAATATGTTTAATGAATATTATTAAGCAAATGTTGCATGGCTTCCAGGATTAAGTGTTTTTTGAGATAAAATGTTCACCTTCAATGTTTTAAATAGTATGTCCTACATTTTCTCTCGAATTTCAATGAAGCACCAAATTCTGAGTAAGAAAAGTACTATACCAGTCAAGACTATTAATAATTCATAAATTATTTGTAAATCTAATTTTATTTCAAGAGATGTTCGGTCATGGACTACTGATGCGTATTCGCATATTTTCGGACGTCGTTGGTGGCTCGCTATAAACCTCATCTTTTAATGTTCCCCAAAGGAAATAATCAAGCGGCATTAAATCTGTTGAGAGAACTGGCCGAGTAATGTTACTGCTACGACTGATCCAACGATTAAGAAACGTCATGTTTAATATTTGCTGTGACGAGCATAATGTGCTAGATACCACATTATTTGACGTATTAGACACGGTACGTTTCCTAATAGGCCTGGTAATATTTCGAACAAAAATATGGATCATGTTTGACTTTGCGATCCTTCAATGAAGTACAGTTTAATGATTTAGTGACCAATCTCGATGACTAAGAACATGAAATATTTCCTAATACAATATAAGACTATTAATTCAAGAATATTTCAATAATTATTAGTTTTAAGCTCTCGTTAGTTTAATACCTTTTTACTCAGAATTTGGAGCGTTAAATATAATCAATATAATATGTAACTCAGTTTAGTAGCTATTTAGGCCAGTGAACGTGAAAGTCATATTGATGAAGGCGTTACGTTTAATGACATTACATTCAATGATGTTAAATAACTCAGAAAAGTGCAATATGATAATGTTTACGATGACAGTCAAAGATATGCGAGTACAGATCAGTGGTGCATGTGCCGCAATGGCTGCAGAAGCAAATAGAAAATGTATTGATTGTAATGGACAACACTTCGAACACCTCTTGAAATAAAAATTAGTTTTACAAAATAAAAATCATAGCACTATGTGCACTCCTGCAAGTCATACAACATTTATTTATTTATTTATTTTTACTGAGGCAAATACCCTTTCATGGTAAAATTGTTTAAAGAGCAATAAAGTCAATGTTGTGACACAGAGATCTAGATACTCTTGAAGTTCATGTATTGCATGTGAAAAATAGAATGATAGCGTGTATCATGGAATAGCGTATGTCCTCAGCGCAAATGTATCAGAAACGCCTGAATGAGTATAGCAAGCAGGGATAAATAAGAACATCGCTGCCAGGACAGGGACAAACCCATCGCAATTAAATCGAGTACGCAACGTTACTCTGTGATTATAGAAATAATGATTTAGAATGAAATGAAAAGGAATAGAATAAAATTACAGTGAACTAATAATAATGAGTTAAAAACTATATCAAATTTACTTTTGCTTACTACTTTTAATTTTTACCGTAGAACAAACATCTTATGAGTTATTCAGAATCGTCATATATTACGAGACTCACCCTGTATAATAGAGCACGAAACAAAATCTGCGAATCGACAAGCCATTATTCGCGCTAAGTTGTACAAAAAGCGACCCGCCTAAATCAAGCCTGGACCGCATCGCGCGTTCCGAGACGAAAACGCAGTCTCCCTCCTTCCCATAGATAAAACCGAACGAAATCGGGCTCGATCCCCATCGAACGGATCTTACTGGCACCGTGCAAAAAGATCGAAGGAATCCTTACCTTCCAAGTTCTTGTTCCTGGCGAGCAGAGCCAACAGGACGTCCTGGTTGGGCGCAGCCTCGGCCAGGTCCGCGGCGTCCTGGTGCGGGGGTGGTAGCGACGGGCCCAACGGTGGTATGGTGCTCGCCGGTGGCCGCGGCATCATAACCGGCGCCGAGCCCAACGGCGGCAACGTCAATCCACCGGCCGTATGATGTAGCGGATTGTGCGGCGGCGGACCACCGCTCGGCAGCGTCGGGACCGGCTGCACCGCGGCTGACATCGACAGGTCGACGCCACCCAACAGCACCGGACGGCAACCCCCTGAACCGGGCCCGCTGCTCACCGCCGGGAGGATCCCGCCGCCTCCCGGCAGTGGTGCGTATGGCAAGTACAGCTCCAGTGCAAAACCGGGTACCGGATGCCGGCACGGAATGCCGATCGACGCGACGCGACGGCCGGGCGATGTTAGCGATACCTCGTCACCTCGTCACCGGCTGGTCTCCCTTTAGCATCGATTAGGAAATTACACGATGATCGTGTTTACCAATGGATCGAACGTACTCGTCGATGTACTTTTAAGGAGGTCTTTGGATCAGTCTAAATCGTGAAGGTCTCCGTTCGCGGGATCCTTTCTCAGTCACTGTTCTCTAGCCTTGCTCTCTTAATTCTGACCGCAAACTGTTCACTGAATTTCACAAATGAAATTTTCATTAGTCTTGGTCGGTGATATCACTCGCAACATTAGTATCGTAGTTTGAATCGTCTGTAGAGCGATACCCAGTCTCGTTTCCGGATATGCCTCGGTACGCAGTTTTAACAATGTTCGAGTAAACGAGTAAACATTCTCAGAGTTTTTATCGATTGAACGTTCAAAGTTCTTTTGTAATCTCGTCGGCGTTGTCGCGAAGCGAGACAACGATGACGATCGATTCGTCGAGAGCCACTCACTTTTGTCACCTTCCGATGACTTTGCTCGTCTGCTGGGACGCCGTTCGTCAGTTCGGTCGCGTATTCACCACTTCACGACGTTTCGCGGATCACTGGAAGATCGTGCGACTACCGAGCACGCTTACGAATGTTTACGAGCACCGCTGGTTGAATAGCCCGTTTGTAAATAGTCAGCGGGTTCAGTGAAAAGAAAAACCGCGATTTACCGGCAATGCTGCGAGGAAAGCTCGCGGATTACGCGCGCGCCTCTGCCGTGTTTACACCGCCCTCGCGATGATCAATGAACACTCGCGTCTTCCCGGGAATCTCTTTTGATTCACCACCAATACTACGAAATTCTGTTCGTTTCAGTTTCTTTCTTATTTAATTACGACGAATGAAAATCACAAATGCTTCATCACAATGTGGACAAAATTTGTTAAATTGTCTTGCCGACGATGACGAAATCGACAATGATGACTCGCTTCTGTCATGCAAAACTTAAGTCGTTTTGTGGAAAACCTCGTCACGCGTCAAACGATCGGCATCGGTCAGATACTGCGATTTTTGCGCTTCGAGCGCTCGGACCGATCGAACCGACTCGGCTCGGGATCGAGAGTCGAACTGGCCGAGAGGGCAACAGCACGAGTTTTCGACGAGGGTCCGAGCGGAGCCGAAGCCAGCCGCGTACTCGCTGCGATCCCTCTCGTAATCCGCAGCCGACGGCCCGCGTCTTATCAGTCCGTCCACGGGTCCCGGTTTATCTCGACCATAACCTTGGCTACGCCGCCCTCATCGCTACGGTTTTTTTTTATCAAATCGCATCTACAGCTCGGCCAATTCTTTCTTTGGTTTTATCAACTAGTTTTTCTTACGCCGTAATCGTTTTCCTCCTGCGAAACCGGGATTATCTCCGACTGTCTGCCCTCGGATCTTCTACTCGCGAGACCTTTCGTGCTTCACGCCCGATGATTTCATGATCGTTACAAAGTGCGTAGAAAAGCTCCCGCGGTTGCATTAATAACTGACGCCAGACGTACCGATGAGAACTATAATAAGTAGACGGCAGATTTTTATGTGAAATAAAACTCTTCCTGGTATTAATTTAAGAAGTAAGATTTAGTAACAGTGTTTTTTAAAACACGCTGCTATGCATTTTGCTGTCGATGCTTTATGCAAATTTCGTTCGCTGTATATGTTGTTTTTTACGTAATTCTGTAATTATGTAAATGCATAAAGTCCGCAGTCTAATAATAAGATTCCAATGTAGGACTGGTGTTACGTTAATTTCTGTCGAACGTAAACAGAATTCAGTCAATGGAACAATGTAATAATTTCTGCAGATTCTTGTTAATATTTAAAACGCAAATTTCAACGATCTAGTCTTTTCTCTAGTTTTAATTGAACACTTTTGAGCACGACGAGGGTTCGTCCAATCCTTCTAATCTGTGCAAGGCGCGTCTATCTCCGCCGGTCGTCTCTGATCAACAGCGGGCAGCCGCGTTTTTTACACGCGTGTCAATGGAAATGGCGAACGGGCCCGATGTAAATCCCGGATGCCGGTAGAGAGAAAAACTCAATGAATCACGTAGCGGCGATACTTTCGGACGGTTCGTAGCTGCCGCTGCGTCGCGGGTATCTTTTCGTCCCGGGCGGCGAATGCGCGTCGCGCCCCGTCGCTCGGTAAGAAACGTTGAATTCCACGGCTGTTGAATCGCGATTTTCGTCCTGCCACGCTCTCCTTTTTCTTTTTTCTCCCCTCAGCGTGGAACCTGTCCCGAGTTCGTCATCGGGCTGCCTCCATTCAACCGACGATGATTACGGCTCTGTCCACTGCCAATGACTTTCTTCCGATCGTTCCCGTCGACTTTTCTTCGGAATCCTTCGAATTCCGTCCGATGTTCCACCCTCGATGGGACCGAGATCGAATCAATCTTACCGTTCTCCTTTTATGCTCGGGAGACGATCGCCGTAAAAGGTGCACCGATGCATCAACGTTCAAATTGTTCGGCTCGCATTTAATTCGTCCCCACCGCGTTTCATCACCAATCCACTGACCGTCAACGAACCCGACGCGCGATCGCTGACGCACTGTACATCGGCCGCGTCTTCATACACCCGAAAAACTCGATGAATCTCGGAGATATCCGCGCGACGAACATTCGGATCGTGACTGATCTCAGGCGAAGGTCAACGAATGTCCGCGACGCGATTGCGACGACGATAAGGAAGATGCACTGCCGCGGGATCTCGAAATGCGCGATTTGATTAGCGGGCACCGCGGCACTATGGAGCCGGCTTCGCGGGGTTCCTGGCTTCGACGTCGAGGATCGGAAAGCTGCGGAGGGACCCGGAGGGACTTGGAGGGACGCATCGAGAGCGGTAGGTGGTGGTGGGCTTACGAGCGTACCGTGCGTGTAACCGAGAGGAGAGGCTTCCACCCTACCATACACTCCGGCCACCACCGAACCGTCGTTTCGCCACCAGCTAGCATTCTAGGGGGAGAGACGTTCATGGTAGGGGCATTCGATGCTCCCACGCTTGCGCCCGGGACCTATCCTCCTCGTGCGCGCGAGAAACCGTACGCGCGGACAACGACGCGATGCATCCTGGCTACAAGATTTCGGAATGATTTGCGATACGCGCGAGGGAGAATCGAATGGAAGAGTCGAACATGAAAAAATGTCAGTCCGGTCGTATGTTACTGGGCGTGGGGCTAGTTGACTTGGGTTGCTGTTTTGCCAAACTTGCTAGCGTTGCCGTGGATTAGTCGAAGTAACTGAACTTTGAAATTATGTATATGAATTGAATGTATAATACATACAATAATATACCCTCTTATCTTTCTCCTCTTTCTTTCCTATGACTTAAATCCATACTAATTTTGGATATACCAAAATTTGTTACAATTCAATATATAACAATAATAATATTATAATATTTCTACTACATACTACACTAATAGAGTTATACTAATTTCTGTATACTAAGACACAATATTACATTACAACATTTTATTAGTAAGTAGTAATTTTTGAAGTAATACATAATAATATTAGATATACGAATTGAATTGAAATTCTATGAAGTCTTGGCATAGCCAAAATTAGTACGAATTTAATTGATGGAATAGAGTATTACAATCAGATGCTATTCAACAGCTTATGAATGTCTTAATTTAATCAGAAGAATGAATAGATTTAATCGATCTCCCTATTATATTCTCGCCTTGCCTCCTATAAATGGCTCTTAAAAATCAAATCGTATCTTTCAGATGCAAACTGATTTTTTTATAAAATGTTCTCCAATAAGGACAGTTGCTTATTATGCATATTGAAAATAGGTCAACGAACTGTATTAACTTTGTATCATGAGGAAGGCAGGTTTCAGTTTGCAAGGGATGCAGCTGAACTAGCATCCATAGAACAATCCTTGCATTTTCAGAAGCACTTATATCTTACTAACATAAACATCTTAATTGTATACAAAAGGATCGAATATTTAGTTGAAGTTTCCAGAACTATAATACATGATTATTTATGATCTCTTTATGCTCTTTATTGAATAATGACAGTGGAGAACAAAATCTTTTCTAAATAGGATGAAAAGCTTTAAGCTGAAGGAAATCAGATTTGAAGACGTAATGAGAAATGGTAGGAGTACTTGTAGTGATACAAGCAAAGCCTAAACACTCTTCATTGTGATAAATAAAGAAATACAATGTTCAGTACAAATGTTAATAGGAAAGCTCCGTGAAATTTAGTAGACATCGAAGATTTCGAAAGAAGCAAGAGGCAGTTCAGTATCGCGGTAATCAAGACCGATGGTCAATAATGGCAGGTACGGAATCCGAATCCAAGCTACCCTTCAAGTGCCGAACGTGCACAAGCCAGCACTTTGCCCCTTCGCAGTCGCCAGAGTTTGATTCCAGTAAGGGAATCAGACGTATTTTTTATTACACCTAGGTGAATCACTGCTACCATTTGCGTCCTCTTTGCTGAAGATAGCAATCACGATTGAACAATATTCAACTCGTTAAGATGACGCACATCAAACTTTCTTAAAAACGAAGTCGAGAATGCATCGAATGCCCATCGCACGCGGGGGTGCGCGCGCGCGCGCGCTCCTCATAACGACTTACATGCACACGTTCCTGAATGAACACATACCCAGCGAGGGGGTAGCGTCGACCCGTCGGATCACCCGTTGGATGCACTCAACGAAATTAAACCTACGTTCCTCGACCTCGGACTGACGTCGCAGTCACGTTCAGCCGAGATATCGGCAACGTTAGCTTTTGCCACGTTCCGCGCGCGCCACTTCAAGCTTATACCAACGAAATTTGGCAACTACGAATCTTAGTACACGGCACCTGTCCCTATCCTCGAACTAAGCCACAGTTAACCCGAATTTAAATTAAGCTGAAACTTCATTTTGACTATCGCTGAGATCGTTTTGTTTCTTTCGGTTTCCTTCATCACTTTTTTCAGGTATAGTAAATAAGGAACAGCTTTAGGAATGTGTGATTATGATATTAAACATTATAGCTATAATTATCACATTGCATGGTGTCAAAATTAATAATGTTAACTGTGAATTCTTATGAACTGATTTTAATTTCTAAGGATTCAAATTAATCTTAAATAGGATTTTAATTAGAACAATCTAAGATGTAAATTTTTATTAACGTGCAATCTTCTAATTTATTTATCAATTTCTTCCAAATGTTTCCAACAAGATAAAGACCGAGTCTATTCTCTTATTTTGTCCTTTGTCGAAACATAGTTGAGATCGTTTTCTATTTTCGGTTTCCTTCATTCTTTTCAGGTGTACAAAGTAAGGAAGATTTTGAGAACTTGATTGTGACTATGACATTGAAAAGCAGTGACTATACGTAGTATTGTAGCTACAATTTAGATTCAAAGTAAGGAAGATTTTGAGAGCTTGATTGTGACTATGACATTGAAAAGCAGTGACTGTACGTAGTATTATAGCTACAATTTAGATGTTGCATAGTATAAAAATTAATATAATTGAATCTAATCTCTAAAGCGTCAAATGAATCTTAAATAGAATTTCAATTAGAACAATAAAGGATATAAATTTTTATTCACTTGGAATTTTCTAATTACTCATCACTCTCTGGAATATTTAAAAAAAAAATAAGAAGTCCATCCTCTTAGCTCATCCTTCATCGAACAAACGTAATCGAAAGCAATGGCGCGGGGTATAGAAATTGGGTTATGAACGCGAAGGCGCTACGAGGCGAGGGTCCTCGGAACGATTTGAAAGTATCGAAGCGCATCTCGTCGGAAAAAAGAGTTTTTTTCAGATTGCCGCTCCGCCATCGGTGCCATGCTCCTCTCCCACCCTCTCTCTCTCTCTCTTTCTCGCTCTTTCACTCATTTTTTTCTCTCCGCTGAAGCAGCGGGGAAAATGCTTCGCGAGGCCGGCTCGGAAAAATGTGGAGCACGTTGACGTTGGAGCAAGGGAGCAGACGAGAGGATATCGAACCGGCAAGTCCAGAGGCGGAGTTGCCCCACCATGTTTCCATGGAAACGTGACACTCTCTTTCGGGCTTTTCGAGCTTTTCGAGCTGTTCGAGCTTTTCGAGCTACCTATGGTCGTCCTCTCTCTCTCTCTCTCTCTCTCTCTTTCCCTTTCTCAGTCACTCTATTTATCTGTACCTCCCGTTTTGTACACCCCCGCCTCTTGCATCGGCACCAGATCGCCGGAGGATCGGGTCTCGCCGTGGAAAGAACGATATTTCCCGTTATTTTCCTCAAACTTCAGGGAAAAATTATTTGGTTTCTCTGGAACTGATATTGCAGCCCGGTCAGTCTCTATTCCAAAGTTTTATTTTGCCGCGCTGCGGTATCGTTCCTCTTTCGTGGACTCCGATACTTGGATCGCTTTTATATTCCAGCCGCGCCTGTCCTCGCTCTGTGACCATTCTTTTACCAAAGGATTCGCGTCGCTGTTTATTAACACAGAATAGCAGTATGACCACAAACAACACAGAATATTCAACCAAATGATTCTTTTTAAATTCTTTTATAAAGAATCAAAAGAAAACGAAATTTTTTATATTGTTAGAGTTGTAATTATTATTTAAGCTGGTACCCGACTGTACCAGTGCCATCACTAAATTCTAGAAAACTGTAAAAACTGTAGACTAAAAAGGTATTAAAAGATGAGTGGCTATTACAATGTTTGCATGATAAAAGAAATGTCTATTTAAAATGAATGGTTTAATTTATATCAAAATCCGCAGTTTACTTATACCCCTCAATTAGACAATTATCTATTATTTGAATTTAAAGAATTAAGCCACGAATGTAGAAATAAGAATGTGAAGGTCGACAATGGCGATGCCGAAAATTGAAACGGGAAAGAACAGCGGCGAGTCCTGTGTATCCTCCTCGTACACAATCGTACACAAAATGTACTTTCATCGAGCACACATCTTGTTCTGTCCTTTCCAATGTACTTCGCAGTCGCCGGCCGAGCATGTGCTTCTCTCGCGTGTGAAATGTCCCCACGATTTGCTCTTCGCTCTTTCGCCCTTTCTCATTCTTCCCTTCTCCACCCTCTGCCAAACAGCGACGCCGGTTATACAAGTTGGTACAGCGTCTCTCAAATGTAGTGATGATTAGAACTGTTACTTTCGAATCACGAATGATTCGATTACGTTCCTTCCCAATCACGACGATTTTTCACAGTGATTCGTGACTTTCGTGACTGCCTCTGATTCGTATACAAAGAACCGAACCTGGTGTTTGTGTGTCTCACATGTGTGAGTCATTTATAGGAATAGATGATAAGATAGTGAAGAATTGTACATACATTTATTTTTCAAAATAAATAATTATTCTTACAAATCAAATCGGATATTTTGAAAATCGAAAACTATTTCAGATGACTTTATTAGGTATGCATATCGCCATTATGACAAGTATATTTATTATAAAAAATTGCGATTATGGTTGTGATTGAATGTAATCACCGGTCGTGATTATGACTTTGTGATCACCATGAAGAATCATGGTTAGTGATTTTGAGTGTCATCTTTACTCAAATGATCGCCATAATTATTACAGTTTACCGTTATCAAGATGATAGAATACCCAATCATTATTCAAATATGTATTTGTTAACGTGAAATGTTTGTATATAGATTAGGAGAAAGCATGATACATCAGTAAATAATACCCAGCGTCCAATGCATAAATGAAAATGTGTCCATTATTGTATTTGCAATTGAACAATATTATCGAAATGTTAACTCGAAATAGCATACAAACAGATGGAAATAAAGTGCTTAAATATTTAGTATTTACTCAGTGCCATCACTAAATTCTAGAAAACTGTAAAAACTGTAGACTAAAAAGGTATTAAAAGATGA